GGAGACTCTAAGACAATGTGATGACCTGGATGAGGAGTCTAAAGAGCCTGGGAGTTGACTCGGGCTCGTATCGGGTACTACTGCATACTGTGCTACAGAGGTTTCTCACGTCAGAGCTCATTCTCTGATACAATCGCAGCTTGATTGTCAAAAAACGGCCACAAAACGAAGAAAAAAAAAATAAACTCAGTAGGCTTCTCGAGTTCATTGACATCGAAATGAAAACCAGAGAAATTCCGCCAGCTCACACCCCGCACATTACAACGACCTACACCCGATTCACATCACCTAGAACGCAACTCCGAGAGGGAAGCATCGGCGGCAGCATTGACCAGGGACAAGAAACCTGAACTTAGGCGCCGCGTATCCTGCAGCTCTAAGAAGCACAACTTGGAGAACTGCCCGTCACCTCTAACAATAAAAAAAAGAACAAGCTGAAAGCGGAAAAGGTGTGCTTCCGGTGCACTAAACAGTTCCATCGCCCCAGAGAGTGCAGATCCGCGCACAAACTTCCCTGCGCAAAGTACTGCGGAAAAGACCTGACCGTAATGTGTGAACCAGTGGGCGGCGACAAGGCAGCCGACTAACACCAGCTCGACACCTTCTACGTTTATCGGCATCTTGAGCTACGGTACGACAGCTCATAATCAAGTACTGTTTCAGACAGCCACGATACGAGCGAGTGGTTAGGCCGAAACGTCCCTGGCGAGCACTGATCGACCGAGGGGGTCAACGTGGAGAGACCCGGGAAAGGCTTGGGTGTTGACCGGTCGGAGAGGAGGAACTAACGATATTCGCTTTTGGCGACTCAGGGCGTGGAACATAAAGAAACTGTCGTCGTGTGAAACTTATACTCTGAAGCCATCACGGGCACGCCGAGATCGTAGTCGAGGTTTCGAATGTTCCGGAAATATGCGGTGAGATTCTAATTCTCACTGATGGCGTAATCATCAGAAAACTACGAAAACAGGGATCACACTCGCTGATCTACCTGTGAAAGGACTTTCAAGGGGAGCGGAAAGTGAGCATTATAATAAGAGCATACTACTATTCGTTTTGTGTACGTTTCGGAGGTGATCCTCCGAAACGTACACGAAGTACCTTTCGCAGGATCACCACCGAAACGTACTTCGTGCCAACATTTCTTTGACCGCAGTGAAGACCATCTTCTGGTGCTTTCTACAGGGACCCATCAAGGTGAGCAACGCCGTCAACGTATGCTTGACGGCAACCGTTTTTAAGATCGACGCCGACGAAGAAGACGAGGCATGGACGTTGTACGCACGAGGGTTGGCGGCTCTGGGTCTCATGTCAGCGCAGGACCCGACGTCGGAGGCGTCCCGGGGCTGCGGCACCAGTGTACACTGCACACTGCACCCAGTGGAAGCCGGCCAAGTTACCTCAAGCAAGCCCTGTGGCTGTGGACACCAGAGATACACCACACCCTGAAGAAGCATCCGAGGACGAAACTTTCGAAGAACAGCGCGGCCACAATCACCACCAGCGCGGCCGTCGCCACCGTAGCTTCCAGACCGAACAGAGCGGTTGGCACCTGAACAAGGACTGCCGGTTATGCATCAGCTCCACCTACGTCCTCTTCCTGGCCGCAGCAATGATGGTGGCGTGCACAGCGTACGTGGGCGGTTACGTGCCGTCTTACCAGACCAACCGCTCTGCGAGGAACGACCCCAAAAACGTGGTGTGCTGTAGCCAAGTTTGCAAGAAAGTGGCCAAAAGCATAGCCCGGTCACTGAATCGGAGTGCGAAGGCGTAGAAAATCTTTTACAATTTCGTGTGCGATAATTGGAGACGAAAGCATCCGGTGTGCCGTATCGAAGTGCAAAGCAGCCCCTGATCGTTGATGGGTAGGGAATTGGACAACGACATCAAAAGTCTTTCAATGACGTGCCCATCACCGGCAGAAAGCAAAGTGCACTAGAGAAGGTAACTCTAATGTACAAGAAGTGCTTAGAAAACTAGGAACAGGGAGACTCGTCAGCCTCTATGAAAGTGCTCAAAAAGCTTCTAGGCTACCTCCAGATGCCCTGGCCAATTGTGGGCAGCAAGTGTCAAGTAGATGTGTTCGAGATCAAGATTAAGTTATCTCTGCTATTGTCAACTCTTAGCTTATTCAGCTTGTCGGTGATACCGGACCCACTGGACACCAGGTCAAACATCCTTGTCTTTAACACCATGGAGAACCTGGAAGAGGATTTCCCTGAAGTGCATAGTGGGAACTCGACCAACAATGACGCGCAAGACCTGATTTTGATGAAGATGGTTCAGAAAGTTGCAGCCATCCTGGTAGGCAACCAGACAAATTACAAGAAGCTCGCTGAGAATGTAGTGATGGCGCCTATAGTGCTTGCCTGTCAAGCACCTCTGCTTTGACGGGCTGGGGAGGACAGACGCGTGGCCACCCAAGAAATACCCGTTACAGCACTTAGAAAATTTGACACTAGAAGTCAGTTTCAAGTGCTGGTTCATCACACTAAATCGATACCTCCCAGAAGATGTGCAGGTCAAAGAAAGAAATCATGAGAGTGTCATGAGCCTGGGATACTTTTGGCTCGTCACTAGCCTCATTCAGCAAAACAATACAGTGCTTATGTTTCAAGACTTCATCGGCTGGTCTATTGCCTTTCTCTTAGGGCCACTGTCATCAAGAGAAAGCAGGGAAGTTGTTAGCAATTACGGCAAACAACTTGGCATAGATATCACAAATGTAGGCAAGCAGTGACTAACCACGGTTGAAGTAGATGGCGAAGTGAGTACTTAATAGGACTACGCTCAGCTCACCACTCCCGACCCATCAAATCCAGTGGTATCTACGAAAGCTATTTCGTCATTGTGTATGAGCATCTACAGCCACGTCAGAGCTGGAAAACAGGACGCATATCTGAAACGTTCCCTGGACGCGACGGACTCGTGCGGTCATGCGCGGTAGAGCTATTATTAATTATTTTACAAACACTCCCCCGCAATGGGCACAGACCTGCGCATTTGTTGAGAGACTCCGGGGGTACAAAAGCTGGACCGATCGTTTGACAACCCTTTCATGGGGATGCTTTACCGCGCATGACCATATGAAACCGTCGCGTCCAAGGAAAATTTTAACTATGCGTCCTGTTTTCCAGCTCTGACATGGGTGTAGATGTTCGTACACTATGACGAAATCACCTTCGTCGAGTCCACTGGATTTGACGGGCTGAGCTGAGCGTAATTCATGTAAGTACTCCCTTCGCCATTCTCCTCCAGAAGTGGTTAGACACTGCTTGCCTTTGTTTCCAACGTTTTCGGATACCGCGCGGCGCGCACTTTGCGTTCGTACTTGTAAACGTAGGCGTGCCTAACATTAGGGGCGCTTAAGAAGGAAATTCCTTGTTTTCTGCCGCGTAAGCACGTCTGGTCTGAGGACGCCTTGCTGGATGTAAAGGTAGGCATAACGACCCCTGTCGAGTTGTCTTCGCTCAATTCGGATAATGTGTCCTCCGTGTTTGCTCTGGACAGCGGGATGTCTTCTTCCGGTTAGTCGTTTTAGAGCTCTTCATCATAGACGCCCTTGTCGTCGACGTTGTCTTCGTTCAAGGCATCATTTTCCCGTTTCTTGTCAAAGAACTTTCTGCGCTGTGACGCCCTACTTTTCCAGGTGTTTTGATACCGGCTCAAGAATTGGTTCGCTCTTACGGAATCATTCTATTCCTTCATTTGGGCCTTGCGCAGATCCTTCAAGTAGCTCTCCCTGATATCTGGCGTAAGCTTGCTTATCAACTCCATGTCCTTCTTACTGAAGCGCAAACTTCCACTCCTTCTTTCCACGGCTCGTCCCCTCGACTTCCTCGAGGACTTCTACTCCATGGCCTGTTTTTGCCCGTGGCTATGTCTGTGTCTATGCTCGCGAGGAGACCTGTACACTTCTTTGACGAGCGTTGCAACGGCTCTGGCTGCAATGATAGACGACGTCTGCGACGCGCAGCGGGCCTCGTGCGTTTTAGTTGCAAAACCTGCACTTGAGCCTGCCGTCAAAGTTGTGCATTTCCTGGTAGAGCATTAGGGTTCTGTGGATGCCAGTCTTGAAGCTGTACTCGCGGCACTCGAGCTGCTGCCGTGCCTTTGGAACGAACTCTTCCGGCAGCTGGAGCAGCGATGCGTACCACATACGGAGCATCCTCTTGGGTGCCTTCCATTTCTTGCTCACCAGCGGCTTCTTGCCTGCCACCGACTTGGTCAACTTAGTCGTGTGGCGTTGCATGTGAACGACCAGCTGGCACTTCATCTTGAAGGTTTCTCCGCAGGCCCGTACCAAGTCGGTGCAGCCCGCACCGACTTGGTACGGGCTGTTGCCTTTCTGCGGTGCCGCGGCTCTCCTGAGCGAATAAAAGATGATTAGTACGTTTCCACCGATATATTTTGGTTCTGATATGAAATCTGCATATTCTTTTATTTAGTGTAGTGAAATATTTTAAATCTACGAAAAGTATTTCAATTATAAAAAAAAACGTGTCGATATTTATGCATCCTTCAAAGTATGTCAACATGTTAAAGGACGTTTTAATGAATGAGAAAGCCATTAAATGTTGAATGACACATAATAAAAAAGCGAAGGAATCATTAAGAAATAATATTTCCGCCGTGATAATTTCGCAGTGATAACTACGCATTCAGCACTTCGAAGCGCAACGAAGAGCTAACCGCAATGAAAACTACGCATTCTAGAAGACGGAAAAGCGCGGCGCCATGTTGGAAGATAGAAAAATGGCGTTTGTGACCTTTCAGTAGCGCAGGTCAACACCAGCTGTGTGCTCGTCGTTGCTTTTAGTTCAAAGCTTGCTAACAAAAGCATTGGAAATGGTTATGTTCAGTGAGACCTTTATGGAGTGGAGAATGCCTGACATTTCTTCGGCGTATATAAAGGTTGTTAATTTTTCCTATGTCACTTACTTCTCGCTTGCGTTTTTCTCCACCTCGTCCTATCTCTTCTTAGCTTTTTACTATCTAACATGCTCTACGTTTCCCTGCTTAGCCGCGTACTTGTGTGTTCACTTTTGTACTGCTTGTATAACGCAATCAACGCAGACGAAAGTGTGTCAGACAGTATAGTTACACTCCCTAAAGAAGTGGAGGATGTTAAAAAGCTTAAGGAACCTCTATTGACCGGAAAGGTGGCAATCGTAACTGGTGGAGCGAGTGGAATAGGGCGGAGTGTCTGCCAGGTGCTGGACCGAGAAGGTGCTCAGGTGATCATAGCCGACATTAATGACACGGGATCTCAAGAAACCCTAAAACTTCTAAAAGGTGAGTTAGAGGATTTTGCTTACATTGCGAAAATTGTCGTCTCGCTTCGGTCATTACTTTTGTGATGTTTTCGTTTCATGTTTTGTTTTTATTGTCAAACAGTATTCTAAATACAGCAATATTATTAGGAACTGGGGCTTCTCAGATACTAATATTATGATTTATGCGAAATATTAGTACATAATACAGTGTTCAAGAGTATTTGTACACTGGCAGCTTACATAATTTATGAACTGACTCACGTCTGTGTGTAAATTAGATATCGCCCCGTGTCTTACAAATACAAAAATTTGCTGACGTGCTCATGACGAATAGTCTGCTGTCCATGTTTGCGTCATCTATTTAGCGTCCTAAAGATTATATGGGCTTAGGTTAATTGGACATACGACAGTACTGAGGTCAAGGAATAAAGTAGAGGAGATAATTGGGATATTTGTTTTTGTATGAGATCATTTTGAGTTTGCACGAATAGCATGCTCACGGGCATATGCGAACCTAATGACTTCCATAATTGACGAAGTAAATATTTCTCTGGAGGTTGTTGTGGCACGATAATCTAAAACTTAAAATTTGCTTAAATGAGTACCCTGGCGATAAATAACATCGTTTTGTACACCTTTTTTGAGAGGCTCTATTTAATTAAATGATCCTCCTTTAATTAAAAGAGTTTTTCTCTAAAGTGTCTTGTACATACCTGCTGCCAGGTTTAAAGCAATTAAACACGGAATAGTTCTGTTGCTAATTTGTGTCCATCACTTGAGCACAGTGGCCTCAATTTGTCGCACTAATCTTTTTCACAAAATAAAAATTAGGCTTTGGTGGCTCACTTTAATCATTATTTAATTAGTGTAAAGAGTTTAATAATTGACCGTCGTGAGATAATCCAAGGAAAAAAAAGCAATCCACTAAGTTTGCAAAGCTTTTCATACTCTTTGTTTAAAACTATGATCTTGCATTTATAAGAGCATTTGAATAGTGATATATCTAAAGTGCAATTGAATAAGGCTTATATATTGGGCTAAAACATAATACAGAAAGAAAGGGAATAACCAAAATCCCTTCCAGAATTACGAAGGATCAGAATGCATAATATTTTAGTTTATGCGATCTGGTTAACCTGAAATGTTCTTTGGCTAGGTGCTCGGCATTCTATAAAGTCTGATAAGTGAGGCCTGATAAGCGTTCCCCTCGAAGGTCGATGCTGACTGGTTTACGAAGGAGCTAACGTGACCAGAGCGGCAGACGAGGAGAGGCTTGGCAGAGAAGGCGCTCGACCACCTGTCCGTACTGAGGGAGAGAAGCTCGAGGGTTTGGAAGGCTCTGGAAGATGCCTAGGTTTATCATCCCTGTATACGCGAAGCTTATCGCTAAACGTATGTGCTGCTAGAACGCTTCACGTATGCAGCACAACAGCCTAGTAATAAGCCGTACATTTTATATCGTGTGGGATTCTAAGATTGGGAATAACCAAAATCAAGGTCACCTATAAATTCTCAATCGTAAAATATATTTGAACATTTTAATTGCTTAATATTGTTTATTGTATGAACGCTGTTAATCAAACCAACTCACTAGTCGGAATGGCGTATTATGGAGCGCCGTTGCGGGCCCTGGGAAGAAATATCCCCATTCCTAGTCTCACAGTTTGTACATCATTACTAAGGTATGAGTTGTTCATAATGACAAGAAATGAACAAATTAATAAAGGATTTAAAATCAAAACATAATTAATATTAAATCGCGTGAGTTTTGAACAGGCCTATTAGTGCGCCGTATTTATATGGCGGTACATACAAGAAATCACATAGATAAAGTTTCTGGCATATCTGCACGAAGCAATAAGCTTGCAGCAGGAGGAGGCACGAAGCATTAAGCTTGCAGCAGGAGGAGGCGGAACGGCGAAAATTAATATTCTGGTAAGTCGTGTCGGTAGAAAATAATTTTGTAGATTGCAGAGCTAGAGCTCTTGGGCGCCAACATGACTTAATATCTCGGAATTCGATAAACAAAATAAACAAAAAAAACGTTACTTGTATGGCCATTCACCCGCCCCCCCCCCCCCCCCCAAAAAAAAAAAAAAAAGAACACATGCGCAAAAAAATTTACATTATAGATTAAATTATCACGTCTGGCGTCTTGAACTTATTAGGTTCAGACAAAATCAGCCAGTTTAATTACGTGTTTCATAGATGCTGGCACACAAAATATATGAGATTCTCAGATGCATTTGATTGATAAATTAATTACTTTTGCAATGACACGTTTTTTCTTACACAGGAGAGAACCACACCGCCATTCATACCGATATTTCAGTGAGGGGAAATGTAACACATCTTTTTACACAAGTCGTTGAAACATACGGGATCATTGACATCGTTATCAACAGCGCTGGAATTGTCCATCACCCATCCCTCGTAACGAACGTATCTGAAGACGTATTCGACAAAGTTATGAGCGTCAATCTATATGTAAGTAGAACGAGCCTCTATCTTCTGGATAGTTTTATTTTTTATTCCTATTAAATACCTTTTTTTTTCCTATGAATATCCGCAAAGTGTCTTACGTACCGGGCTTGTGCTAACCACATCATATGACCCATCGGAAAAGCTCCTAAAATAATAAAACATGCATCAAGCATGCGCTCTTTATGATCAAAATGTGCAGTATATATTGCTGTTACAGAATGCAGATATATAATTACCGTACATTTTTAAATTGTCGTATTTTTGTAACAATATGAGTGTTTACTTGTATTTACTGTATTTACAACTCCATTTACTTGCTCTTCGTTACAATATTTGTAGCATGAAGTGTTTCGTCACTCTGACTCAATAATCTGGTATCTCACCATGAGAAACAGTAATAGAAAACGGCAGAATATATTTATTTCACTTCTTGAGCTAGCTGTTGCCTACCTCTAAGCGTAACTCTCTACTTCTAAATTAGTCTCAAGAAAAAAAAAAAAAAAAAAAAAAACGGGGCTGTTTTTGTGGTGCTTCACCGCGCGCTACGCAGTGATGTGATTGCTGCGCCAATTGCGACAAACTGCGCCAAGGGGCTAACCCTGCTACATCCTGCTACATTTTGCCAAAATATGGGTAATCTGCGCCAAGCCTGCGCCAAAGGACCAGTTTTGGTCGCCTTTCAAAACCAAGATTGAACTGAGTACCGTAATTGAGCATGCGTGAGCATGGTGGCGCAAGCGGCCACCCGACACAAAGTACCCTGCATCAATCGTGGCATTGTAACCCTGGAGCCGGGGAATAGAAGGGACGTAGGACAGGCACAAAACTCTTATGCCAGTATTGAACCAGCTCGCCTGCACCCTTGCTTTAGTTACATCAGTCGTCCGTCCGGTCTCGCATGGTTTTTCCCGCCGTCTCTTCTTTCACGCTCTCGTCGCCTCGGGAATCTCGTCACGCGTTTTTAATTTTTCAACGAGAGACGCGGGCGTGTGCGGACACTCCGACGCTAACGTGCTGGGTACTAGCCATGCCGTCACGCTGTGAAACGAAATTACTTTTTTTGCGCGGCGGGAGTTACGTTTTGAGCTAAAGCACTCGCTTCTGAAAGCAATGGCCGTGGGAAAACTATTTGGTCCCTGCCGGCCAGTCCGCACGTCGCTACAGATATGGAGCTTTCTAAACTGAAACACTGGGACCGCCGCATGTTCATCAACATTCCTGTTCTTGCTTAAAACATACGCTACTACGAAAATTCTTTTTAAATCGACGACTGCTGTGTGGAAGTATTGATTACCTAGGTTTCCCTTGGTTGGCTTTCTTTCGAGAGGGACCCCGGTACATGAAAAATCTGTCGCGAAAGAAAGTTCGTGAAGAGAAGTGAGCTAAAGCGAAGAAGGCAATGTATGCACGCTGAACTCGCACAGCGGGCTTGTTTGTCTCGAGTTCAGTCGTTCCACAAAGCGCTCCAAGAACGTTTTGACCCTGACTCGCAATGTCCTGCATCGATGCGCTCAGGTTCTTTTTTTTCTCGTATGTTTAGCTTGTACCTCGCCGCCGGCCTTGCAAGCACGCGCCGCTGTACTGGTTATTGTCGCATGCTAGGGAGTTACATTTTGCATACATTTTTGGAAATTATTTGGCGACAGAGCGGAGGGGCACGGTTTTGATCGAACGGCCGCCTCCGCTCGCGCGACGAAGTACGTGCAGCTGCAAGCCTGCCGAAGTTGCCCTCACGTGCCTGCAAACATGATTTCACGACAGAGGCACCAGCCAGGACGCTTGCAATCCACTGTTTTACGTCTACTTTTGACAAAAATCTGGCACGTCGGGAATCAGTAAAACGGTGGCAAGCGGTTTTTCGGGATTGCTCGGCACGCGTACAGCACTGCACACTTATGGGATGTCTCAATGTCTCTTTGAGAGACATTGAAAGTGGACATTCATTACTAGCCTAAGTTAAAGCGAAGCTTGCAGCAGCTTTACAGAAAGTTTCAAAAAGCAAAAAGTACCCGCTAGTTATAATGCACCTTTTTGTTGTGTGCATTTTCGCATTGCACTGCAGTAGCTATGCGTTTCATCAGTCGGAGACTGCTTCCATTTATTTTATAATATCACTAGTCAACCTAATGCTGTGATATTTACTACTAAGGTGGTCATTTTCAAATAAATTTTAATATGTGCAGTTTGGTTTTCAAATAAATTTTAATATGTGAAGTTTCGTTCTTATCTATCTGTAGTGGGTAGATATATATGTATAATTTAACTGAAGCATTGCAAGGTGCAGCATGTCATTGACATTTCAGTTACACCTTGGATGACTCCTAGGTTATCGAACTTGACCAGCATTCGTTTATTTCGGCGAGCAAATTGCCCTTCCTTTGTCCAGCACAGGGTGGTCCAGCACCTAAAACGAATATTTTTTATTTTTATAAGAATATCTGCTCCGAAAGCCGCTTTTTCTGCTCCGATACACTGTTTTGGCTGCTCCAAAAGCTACTTTTGCTGCTCCAAAACATTGTTTTGGCTGCGCCAAAGGCAACTTTTGCTGCTCCAAAACACTGTTTTAGCTGCTCCGAAAGGTGCTCCAAAACGGCTTAGGCCAATCACATCACTGGCTACGTCAAACTAAGATATCATTCTGGCGTTTCTGCGATGAGCTATATCACGCTGATTTAATTCGGACGAGCCTCGTTTTTTTATTAAGTCTTTGCCAGTACCAGAACGAGCCCACATTGCTTCTCGGTACCTATCCAAACGCCCCTATCTTGTGAGGCGTTGTAAGGACGAAGATTTGTTTTAATATTGCAACGCGTTCTGAAGACGACAAGAATGCTTCCAACAAGGGTATGTCTTCAATGATACGATAGATGAATAGATGGGTGGTATTACTGTACTCAAAGAACCAAAAGGTGGCTTGTGCCATCTAGCCTAGAATTATTTACACCACTCCCCTTTAAATTTTCTTATCAATTACGTCTCTTGAATCATCACCCTCATCAATTTTGTGTATTATCACGCTTTTCTATACCTTCTCCCCCGGTCTTTTTTTTGGTAATCATAATAATTTGTTTCTCCGTTCTTTCGTCCTCGTCAACGAAACACAGCGCACTCGCCAAATCCGTTACCCTTTAGGGAGGGCTGGACGAAATACCGTGCATTTCAAAACCCGTTCCCGCGCCTAGCTATTACTATGGTCACGGCACACATGTTTATATTTCTTAAAATCTTGTTAAATATGTCTTTGTTCATAACACTCACGTTCTCTCCTGAAACAAACAAAATGGCCTCCCAGTGAATTCTCGAACTAAGTTTGTGTCTTTGTGGCTCATACAATATCAAAGCTGATGGCATTTGAATTTTTTTCTACCACATTGTGTGTTCTGCTTTTCTCACTCTCTTTTCTGCTGAACTAATCGGCTTAACCCCATCTCTATAGTGTAAGCATTTAAATGTCGGCTTTCTGGTGGGGCTCGTTAATTTTAAATATAAACGCTTTCATGCATAATTGCTACCATACTTTACGTGCCTCCCGCTTGACCTCTATTTCAGTTAACCTTTGTCCAGTTCGCAGGTTACTAATTGCCCTAAGCTCAAGAGGCCGACCATCCTATTTTCTCCATTTACCCTTTGATGCGGCATGTTCCCATACACCCACAGTGCCAATGTACCCACACTGCTTTATCGAGTATCTAATCCTCATAGAACTTCTCACTTATGGACGGTACCGTGCTGCCAAAATACAGTTTGTGCATAATCACTCCTTTCTACATAGCCCTGGCCATTTCATAACTGCTAAACTTCCTATTTTTTTACAGATAATAGAGCATTTATGTTTTTATAAATATGTCCTTCACTAATTTAGCGATATTTTGTGATATGTGTATTTGCTACCTGGTCTATCAATTGCAATATATTGTATTTTTATTCCCTGTTTTCGTCATTGAACACTTAACGCTAGCAAAACCTATGCCCAGGATGTTCTATTCCTCCGAATATTCTAGTTAGTTCACGGAATATATTTAGCATGCTTGCCAAAAGTCGTATGTACTATGAACCCTGTCGAAAGTTAGCTCTCTTTGCATCATTCCGTGAAGAAATGTAGACACAAGTGCGAGATCCTTGTGTTAAATTGCGCCTTGGCTGCCCGAGCACTCGTGCGGTGAGAACAAACGTAGGAGCTACCTGTTGGCGTAACTTGCGCATTTCGCAGCGCCGTATAAAGCAAAAAATATTATTACCTTTAATAACTGTCGCTTGAGAAACCACGCCATTGGCGCAGTGGTTGAGTGTGGGGCTCAGAATATTATGGTTTTGGTTTCGATTCATCATTGAGAATTTTAGTTTCGTTCTATCTTCTAAATTTATCCACCTACCAGTCTTCGCCGCATGCGCATTCGTTTGGTGTAACACAGTATAAATATTTCTGGTGGAAAGGGGGGGGGGGGGGGGGAAGTGCGAAGGGAGCTACTGAAAAAAAAAAAAAAAACACGACGCATTAAGAAATCAAGGCTGCCTGCTCTGCTAAACGCGTACTCACGGCAAATTACGGTAACTGTGAAGTTTACGACGTCTTTATTTGTATAATATTTATCAAACATTTATGCAAGCAAGGCGCCAACCCGTTTCAGCAGTCCTATTTTGTGTCACCTGCTGGTCGCGTTCAAGTGCGGTTTGGTATAAACTTTATTCCGCAATCGAGTGAAGGGGTATAAATGCTTTACTTTCCAGCATCCTAATTTCACGTAGCCTGACTGATAGATTAATTAAGTCGTGTCGTTTCGATTGTTGGAAGCGAAACCACTTAACGTTTCCTCATTTTAATGCTTAAGTTGCGTCGAATGCTGCGCGAGTTGGAGCTCGACACTCTGAGCGGACGCAGTGCTCCTTTTCACCGGCTCCATTTATACAAGGGTGTTTTCAAAGACGTTCAGTCGATCATGTCCGGTGACCATATTTAATCGTGACTGAAATATAATATTTTCTAAATCAATTCAAAGCGAAATGAATAATAATAAAAATAATGTTGTTAGAAAAAATTCCACAGCGAGAGAAATAAAGAAATGGAAGCATGCTTTTATACCAAAGTGTTTCATCTGTCTTGCGCGAAGTTTGCACTTCGGGCACCTCCCCCAAAGCAACTGCCCTGTCTAAGGGTCTACAAACATTAACTAAATAATTACGCATACAGAAAATTGATCTAAAGTATTTGACAAAAAAGTAACAATGTCGTTAGCTTTCAAAGAAAAATCGCAAACACGGCACATTGCACACTTATAATTTTGATATATATATATATATTTATTTCTTTTCAAATTCATACACGTAAGGACATACATGCCAGCTTGACAAGTAAATCATATTTACAAAGCGTAAGATGATTGGGGGGGGGGGGGACAGATAAACATTGACGAGCGATAGGCCGCTTCGGTTTTTAGAAGAAGAATTCGTAGTAGGTTTATGCACTATAGTCGTAGAAAATGACCGCAGGCCGGAGCGATCGAGAGATGGTGTTATGTGGCATGATTTGCAGGGCCTGCTTTCCGAAGCCGGCGTGTAACATGCTATTTCCGTCTCATAGTACGCCACGCAAAGGAAGTGTGGTAGCTTGCTACAACCCCACACTGAAACTAGACACTCCTTTTTTATGTTTTTTTTTGCTTTTCTTAACGAATGTTTTCCTTTCGTTCACCACACGGATTTCCCTGGTGAAACTCGACACGAACGATAATTCGATAATTCGCCTTTCCTTTTAGTTCACACCTTAATTTCTTTCTCCGCGTCGTCTGTCTCCTGTTACGCGCTGCGGGGCTGGAATATTAAAGTCTTCTTTCTGTTGTACAAAACAATAGGGCGCTCCCGTGTCTGTTCAAGAAATGGGGTCCCGAAGATACCACATTCGAGCAAGTTTTGCCTTCTTATGGTGCAGTAGCGGCGGGTCAGTCTTGTGATCGAGAAAAAAAAAAGCAATTTGTGCAAGATGTTTTACTCTTTCGCCTACATGCAGACGCCATTGGGATTTTTTTTTCTTGCGCATTCAAACGTGCGTTGCTCAACGTTCATGCTTTATGCTACGAAGGTTAATTATGCTAGAGGGCATATGGCCGGCAGAACAATGTATGTAACGTGCTAAAATGCTGGATGTAATCCTGAGTTTGTGGTGTTTTATAGGCAGTACTTATAGCCAGACCAGAAAAGTGATTTCTTTACTCGGAGGTCAAACATAAGAAAATCTCGCAACTCCTCTCTTTTTAATTATATTATCATTACGGTCATCACATAAAAATTGCTTCAGAGCAACGTCTAATGTGTCTAGCATTGCAGCGCTAGCTGTCGATAAGATGATTTCTCAGTTGAAGTGCACATTGTTAACAAAATTACTTTATGTTAATGATAATTCGACACAACTATTTTCACGAACATCTTGCGTATATTGTTTTTTTTAGCGCGCGTAATGGTTTGTTGTTGTGAAAATTGTTTTCTCTACAATAGCGGGAAAACTGAATTGTTGTACAGGTAAACAAGATCAGGTCAAGTGAAATAATTTTCGGTTAAATTTTTCGGGAACACTAAGCTGTATAGGTTTCCTGGCGTGAAGTCACGTGACATTTAATTTTATTTTAAACTTTAAGAAAGAGAATTCGTGGATAGTGCACGTAACGTAACATCACGTGAAATAAAATTTCCCGCAAAATTTAGTGGAGAACGTGGATTTATATACGCGTCGTGTGACTTCAGGTCATGTTACGCAAATGTTTCCGCTAAATTCAGAGTGGAAACCTAAGGCCTGCCTAAGTCAAGTGACCTTCCTGTTATCTATGCACCAATGACGTTTTCCTGTCAGATATTGGCAGGAATTGCTGCCGCGTGACATTTGGTCATGCGACATGACTTTTCCTGTCAATATTTGACAGAAAAACGTAATTGGTATATAAATCACGTAAGGTAAGGTCACGTGGCATCAATTGATGTCACGTTGCCTAAAGACCGATTCAGTTTCCCCGCTTAATTTAGCGGGAATGCACGCACAGACAGACAAAACTTTGGGATTGGGGGATTCCGTTATATAGAATTTCATACTTTATAATAATCTATGGTGTTTTTCTTGGAGCAATAAATACGTTTTTAAACTACGTTTGTTAAATTGAGGTTAAATTTTGGAAGGCTTGTTTTGGAGACAAAACTCCGTTTTCGTAAAGGTAGAGGACGATAAAAAAATCAGGAGGTACGTTTTGTGTCTGGTAATAAGGTGGGCTAAATAAAAAAAGTGTGGCGATAGCTCGCTTTTCCGAGCTGCCGGGAGTTGTCTCCTATTTGTTGTCCCGTGTGTCACTATCACAATGGCACCATATGTGAGTTGGCAGTAGCGCCTCAACGGCAAACACCACTGAGTTTGTATTAAAATTGGGTTTAAAATAAAACAGTGAAGGCAAGCAATATTAAAAAAAAATATCACTGGTCATATTTGTTTTTGCGTGGCGAATACCTATGCAGATTTTATAAAACAAAAAAAGCTCCAATGGGCTATTTTTTATATTTTTTTCGTCAAACCCAAGACGCAAGATCGCGCTGGTATTCATCTACGGATTATGCTGCGCTATGTGGGCTTGAATTGAGGGACTCTTTTAAACCGTCTAGCCCACAAAACTAATAGATAATAATATTATATTCGGAGGTTTCTCCTTCTTCTCGAATCCTGAATGGATACGCTAAAAAAACGTTAACAGTGATCATTTAATTTACATCACGAGTACAGTTTATTTATATTTTGTTAAAATACTACTGTCTAGTATAGGAGTACTCATTCACGTTTTACCAACAGCAACTGATGATAGAGGCATTCCTTCTTGACATGTTTTTGTAGCTTTCTATGGGTCACAATTTCAGTGTATATAAACTAAACCTTCATTTAATTTTAAGTAATGCTCGTAATGCTCGTGCTTTCAACATTTTGTAGAAAGGACGAACGAGTCATTTACCAACGGCAAACTCCGTTTCATTTTAACTATGAGCGAAGTAGCAGCTACAATAGCGAACTACGGGCATTCAGCGTGCCTACACCGAGCATGCGACCTCGTGTAGATGAAGTATCGTTCAGGTCTGCATGTGCGTGCTTGTACCTTCCGATTTGCTCGTACTTAATGCGAAACGAACTACGCGGTGATTCGAGGAGAGGCGAGGCTCTTTAGATCGACCGCAAAATTCGGCTTCTTAACCTATCGCGCTACGACTTTGTGCAGCGTTGCCCACAGATGGTGCATTTTTTTTTGTAATATTTCCAAAGAGCGAATTTGCCTGAGAAAAAAGTAGAGAAAGAAAAAAGTCTTAGCTCCTATGGAAACGCAGCGAAGCCACCGGTCTTCAAACAACACGGCGCCGTTTCGCCCGGGAGACAAGGGGTGGCGCAAGCGGTCGCGACGCCAACTGCCGCCAACGAACGAGCATACGACGCCGGGAGCCGGCATCTTTAGCAGACAAGCAACTGCGGTTCCTTGTTGTTACCGCGCCTGTTTTTGTTTCTGCGACTGTCGCCGCTTGCGGAACGCGCGCCGCTTTTGAGTCGAAAAGATAGTTGCTAAAGACGCCGGCTCTCGACGCCGTATGCTCGTTCGTTGGCGGCGTTCGTTGCGTCATCTCTTGTCTCCCGTGCGAAACGGCGCCGTGTTGTTTGAAGACCGCTAGCGTCGCTGCGTTTCCATAGGAGCTAAGCCTTTTTCTTTCTTTAATTTTTCCTCGGGTAAGTTCGCTCTTTGCAAATTTTACAAAAAAAAAAAAAAAAACACACCATCTGTGGGCAACGCTGCACAAATTCGTAGCGCGATAGGTTACGAAACCGAATTTTGTGGTCGATTTAAAGAGCTTGGCCTCTCCTTGAATCACCCTGTATATAATAATGTTGAAGTGAAAAGTCACACAAGAAATAACTTATTAATTCTTAATTACAGGGCACTTTCCTCGTCACTCAAACAGCTGTGAGAATGATGCTGAAGAAAGAGAACGCCACAGGCCGCACCATTCTAAACATTGCCAGCGTATCTGGCAAGGGCGGTCGTAGGTACTTGAGTGCTTACTCGGCTTCGAAGGGCGCCGTCATCTCCTTTACCAAATCTGTGGCGCTGGAAGTTGCACTCAAGGGAATTCGCGTCAACACTATTCTCCCTGGTTTCACGGACACACCCATGACACAGGGCACCCCCAACGCAACCAGACAAGCCATAATTGCTGAAATTCCAATGGGGCGTATTGCAAAACCGCTGGAAATGGCTGAAACTATTGTTTTTATGTGCGGCCCGAGGAGCACGTACATGATAGGATCGGCCGTTCTGGTGTCCGGGGGGACGTTCCTTTAATTCGAGGCAATTAATAATAAAAAAAAAAATCTTCCACTGATGTTGTTTATTCGCTGAAATTCGCTAAAGTGCTCTTGAAATTGTTTTACCTCCAGAATAATATAATGGGCAGAATTCTATAAATATCCGGATTCTATATTTAAAAAAAGAAAGGTATGCTCAATAAATAAATATTTTTGGCCGCATTTTCCTCTTTTGCTTTTTCACAGCTAATACTAAAAGATGGATTAACAGAATTCAATAAAAATGGTAAATAACCTACGTGTTTTTTTAAGGTTATGTTTTGGACTACGGTGGGTCTGCTCCTATGAACAAGCCAAATTCGAAATAACAATGAGAGCGCTGGCAAGCTGGTGTAGCATTACGATTTATTTAAATTACCCGAGACTGGGGCGAGAAAACTATGAAGCATCAAAACCTGGAAGAGAAAGGCAAAGTGATAGGAAGACAACGTCTCGAGACGTTGTCTTCCAATCACTTTGTATTTCTCTTCCACGGTTTGATACTTCATAGTTTTCTCTCCCCAGTCTCGGGTAATTTAATGAAACCGAATTCGTTTTTGTGAGCTATATTTGTGTGCAAGAATATTTATGGACAGAAAAATAATTCTAATTGTATTCACAATACAACTATTAGGAGTGTAAGAAAAAACATTTTCACAAACGTGTCTTTAGATGGTGCATCTATCATACTCAAAGGTCATATCCCAAGAAAAAATTATAAAGAAAACTGTCGCTCTCCTATGCACATAAAGGAAAAGCAAAAAAAAAAAATATTTTTCGACGCTGCTACGTACATATGGAACAACATAAAGCAAAAAATGCAAAAATTATTCTTTGAGGTGAATGCACGAGAGTTGAGTCAACAAATCCGATCGTGTGTGGTGCCCTTTATAATCAGATGGTTTTTGACGTTTTCGTCCGTGTGCACAAGAAAAAGCATATATTTGTTTTTATTTTGCTTAAATGTCATTTTTTTTAAACCACGTAAACAGACCTCGGTGAAAATATTTTCATATATTCAGTTCATTGGTTTCTTTACATGAGGGATTTAACGCCAGAAACACCCTGCATTCCTGCTTGGCATGCATTTAGTATGTTCATTGTTTAAGCAGTTTTAATAATACAGTGGACATTGATTATCTTTTGCCATCGCACTTTGCTGCGGAAGTCACACATCTTCCTTACCGCTCTGACAGAACGAGTTATCGACAGTTTATATATGCGCGATTCGCACCACTCACGCAAACAATACACTGAAGAAACAATCCAGGTACACTTCCGCCTAATGCACATTCTCGAGTACCCTACAAGTACTTTGGGCATTCTTTTTACTATAATTAATATTTTAAGTTCATACACATTTCACCAAGTGCTTTCTGCAGATGAGGAATTTAGGCCTCTTGCAATGTATCAAAGAAAGAGCAGGCATTTCCTAATCTCAAAGTATGTTTTCAAATGGACTACCAGTCGATGCTTCCCTGTGTCGCCGACTGCACCGGCAGACGCAGTCTATCATGAGGCAAAGAAACTCAACCGAGCTGGAAAACACTGCCTCCATGCGTAGGAAGACACGAAGAAAGTTAATTAACATGGCGTCCGGTGATCATTCGAGCCGGTAAAACGTCACATAAAGCCAGTGTTGGCGGTAACGCGTAACAAGTAACGCCGTTACCGGTAACGTGTAACTTTTTTTTTTCGGTAAGCTGTAGCGTACTCATTAGAAAGTTTAAGCGAACCGTTTTCGCGCATCCGACACGGTACAATGGGCCCTCCGATACGAGCTGCGCATCTGGGAGTCTTCTGTGAAGCGCATGCGCAGTTCGTACCGGAGGGCCCATCGTACCGTATCGGCTGTGCAAAAACGGTTCCTTTAAACTCCCTATTTTCCTTTCAAAACGGTAACGGCTTAAGTAATTACGCTATTTTTTTCGAGTAACGTGCAAGGGAGTTACGTTACTCGTTACTTTTTCTTCCCAAGACTTGAAAAAGGTACTCCTCAATTTGCTTCGTATTTCAAGGCCCAAGCCATGTGAATATTTTAGTTTTGTGCGTTTGTCTGTGAGATTTTTTTGGTGAGTATTTAGGTGTGACCGTGAAAAAGATGAAGCGACTATGTGGAGTTTCTGCATGACACTGTGTTTCTTGAAATATGGTGCTTAAGCATACCTGCAATTTCAAAATAATAAAACGTGTCAATTCGTAATTAGAAAAGTAACCCAAAATAACGTGCCTTATGTTTTATGAGGAATGGTAACGGCAATGCGCACCTTTTATTTTGAAATAACGTTGAGCGGTAAAGCCTTAATTTTATTGGCGAGTAACGAATGAAGTATTTCGTTACATTAATTTGGTAACGCCTACAAGACAGCAAAACCAACCTGTCCCGGAGATAACTAACTTTTTTAAAATAAAAATTGACTGTAAAAAGCTAAAAAGGACACACCCCAAACGCAAACGAACGAAGTTGAGATTTTGTATTTGAGCAAGCACTTATCACAAACTTGACTACTGCTTCATTAATTGGACACAACCGCTTCAAAGGGCAGTGGAGGGACGAAACGTGGCACCTTGCCCAGCTTAATTGTTTATCATTTTAGTTATTTCTTTTGCGGATAGCCTCCGCTAAGAAAAAAACCAAAAGGTGGGTGGGGAGTACAGTGAGAAAGACGCGATGCTTGAATGAGCCTACACTCTCCATCAATAGAACCGAAAAAAAAAACATGCCCAAGTTAATTAGAGCATAAAATAAGAAACGCCAGTAAAAAAAAAAAAAACGGCAGAAAGGCTGTTGTCCTTCGCAACTTTTTTTTTCAATCAATATTGTTGAAAGTTGTTTCCTAATATATCCCTTGGAAAAGGTTAACATCCCTCGAACGTGGACCTTTTGATCACTTGCAATGCCATTTGCTGCCAGTTCCTTAAGGATGAACTTCGTCGTTACCGCCGAAACTTCCATATCCTGAACTTAGATGTTTTGTATTTCGCGATATTTGTGTATTGTTCGCTTGTTTACACGATCAGATCAAGAGCTTGCTCTTTTGTCCAGTGAAATCTTCCTTCTAAAAGGGCAGATTCATTCATTAACCCGCTGCGTTCTTGGACATTCATTGTCAGCATGCCGAACACATTTTTAGTTTCTAACGTTCAAGCATGCACTCTGAAAATCATGTGTTTATGATTGACCCCCAATATTAACGTGCAAAAGTATTATTGCGCGACTTGGCCCTATAACATTATTCGAGTGTTGCAGATTTTGAGACTTGGTACTCTTCAGCGGCAGCTCAACCTCGCACCATGAGGTCACACTTTTGAGCGGCCTTACTCGGCTTTTGTTTATTCCGGAACTGTAATTTCCTGTTTTCACAGTCGTCGATTACAGAGTTCATTTGTTATTTCCAAATCTCAGTGTTTGCATACAGTGCGAGGTTAAACAACGTATATTCGATATTCTGAAAGTGCGAAGAGCCGTACGAAATCAAAAGGCACCTAACAATCAAACCAAATGCAATTTACACGTCCCGTTACAAGTTATAGCAATATTTTAGTCGCTGCTCATACATGCCGCCACATGTTTAAAAAAAAAAAATAATACACCACTTGCGGAGGGCAGGTAGCAAACCGAAACTGAAACCACTCGGGAACGCGCACGGGTATAGCCTGCGGTGGCAGTTCGAAGGTTAATTTTTTTTTATGTGCTCACAAAAGGTCTTCGAGCCTTTCCTGCAAATAAACTCAAATATGTACAGTGCTCCTTAAATTTTGCGGCACCATGATACGGTCTGTTTTTACACCTGTTAGGCAACCCCTTCGCCTGCCGGTCAGCTACATGGTACGGTATCAACTCCCAGATCACAAACCATCTTTAAAAATAAACTAGTATGCCACTCAATGTCTTCCCACGCCCGATTCGATAAAGCGTCGCTCCAGTCGCTCACAAGAAAGTCGCAAAACGCAGCGAGCGCGATCAAAACAGTTTACTGACTCAGAAGTCCCGTTCTCTTGTTGGTCTTCCGACGACTGTTACAGATCTCCCTTCCAACTCTCTGCACTATGAAAGCTTAAACCCAAGGCGTGCTCTCTCCTTATTTAGCCCCCTAACCCTTGTCTCCCGATCCCTCTCTCTCCTGACAAATGTTTTGTACGTATAAGGCAATCTGTGAGCACACAGCGTCAATCCGGTGACAAATGCTAGCCCGAATCCATCACCGAAACCCCTTCACACCACACATGTACGCCGGTGGTCAAGCGGACCGTGCAAGTCTAAGTGCCGTAGAGGTGTCGGGGTTTAAAATGTCTCCTACTGACGGAGAAAGTCAGCCTTGGCACTGGACAATATGAGGGATTTATTGAGTGCTTTCACGCCGGATGAAAACGGGGGCCTCGCTACCAGACACGTGGAGGGAGATTTGCAGGTTGGCCAAGGATATCAGCTGTTGCAATGATCAATTTAAACTGCAAGATGGGCTATTTTGTCTTGATACACTCAAAAGGGTTTACGTCAAAAGAACGTCAACGAATCTGAGAGGCGACACATTAAAAGGCGGCAGGACAAGGTACTCGTTTTCTTGTGTTGCCTCTCCCTTTTTGTTCCTGTGCGTTTTGGCGTAAAACCTCAGTACGGATCAATTTATCTTTGAGAGCCAATGAATCAACATCTGTGTGACTGAGTGGTGGGTTTAGCCTTTATGAACACAATACGCAAACACGTTCCCCACAGGGGTCACCTGGGTCAGTAGGCGTTTGGTGAGTGGCGTCGCTACGGAACCCGATCCATGTGGTTATGACCACCGACACCGGGCTGTGCGTGGCTCACCCGTGCGTACGAAAAGGGCACCCTGGTGGTTGAGATGAGTGAGGCGTAGGCTAGGATTCTTGC